CTGACATGCACCGTGAGGTGAGCTCCTCCATCGACAGCCTAGCCATGGGTAGAATTCCTCCGTATCTGGTGCCCCTGAGCCTAGTACAAACAGTGTTATCCTCTGTAACTACCCGTCCAGCTGACCCTCTTCAAGCCCACCTTGCCTACTCCCTGGGAGGGTCCATCCTGCTACATGTCAACCCCGAGCAGAGCGAGATGGCGTTTCTTCTGAATCTACCCATCAAGGAATCCGACAACATTTACAGACTCAAAGACATTGTCAATGTTGGATTTTGGCAAGGAAACACTCACATCAGAATACACACACCAGATATGGTAGCCTACCACGACAATAACCCACAGTTATACCTGGCCCCAAACCTGCGCATGTGTACCCTGACCAAAGACATTCATTATCTCTGCCCCAGCAAGCCCTTCCTTCGAGACAACACTGAAGGAATCTGCGGGTTACAACCCATGCAAAGAGAAACACTCTGCCCCGCTGAGGCCAAGCCTCGCACACAAGTCACAGAAACGCAAGCAGAGATTGTGGCAAATCAGTGGCTCGTCAACACGCCCATCCGTACCGCCACACTGACCTATGACCAGCACGACACTGCCACCCGTGTCAGCCTGCCCAACCAGAGTATGTGGATTCAAGTGCCCAAAGGTGCCATCCTCCACCTCGGGGACCTGGCGCTGTACCACCTTCCAAGTGAAGAGTACCAATCCGAGGTAGAAATGCCATAACCAGATCAACTCTCTGGTCTCCCCACCGACTTTAAACACATTCCAATGTCCTAAGAGACAGCCATCCACAGTACCTGGCACCAGATGTCTGATGGCCAGCGAACTACCCCCCATGCTGGCAATACACATAACACACACACATAAAGACATTTTCTTTATTTAGACTATAATTAATCAATTACAATTGTATCTGGTATATGTATGTGTTGTTTGTATGTTTCCCTATTGTATTAGCCTAGTTACAACTCTTTATTTGTATTAGTTAGACTCTCAATGCTTATATTCAGGTATATGAGTGTATCTCTGCTTTAAGATCTTCTAGATGTTTCGTTCTTGGTATCAAAATGATCTGCTCTTTATTCCTCAAACAATGATGTACACTATGTGATCGTGAAATGCATCATACTATTTGTATTTTGGGTAAAACTGCACCAATCCTCCAGACCACCAATAAACATGCAAATGGGACATAAACAGAGACAAAGAAAGTTTCTCCCGCTCAAACTTCATGCCTCTGATTGGCCATCCCACCCAAAAGGTGGGTGTGGATAGGAACTTTCAATTCCTATCCACATTTCAATTGTGCTGTTCACAATTCGGGGTCACTGAATGTTGAACCTTGCTACATGCTAAATTACTGCTAGTACTGCATAAGAGTAGAAAACGCTATTGTTCCTTGGTCAGGAAAATAATTTTTCCTTGAATTGATTAATTATTATATTGTCTGCTCGGTGGACGGACAGATCAAATAATTATAATATTGATTCTGCTACAGTTAATTCTAAGATCTAATCTAAATATTTATTATTAATTATAACCAGCTATAATTACTAGCTATAAATGCTACATAAGGCAGGCAATGAAATGACTAGATCGTCTACAGGAAAGCCTTATGTTGAAGTGAAGGGATCTTTTCTCCTGAGATGTCTGACCTATTTGCATTGGCTCAAAGAAAGCGGTGACTAAGTGTGACAGGAAAGCGTGGAGCGTTTTAGCAGGGTGACTGGATTGAATGAGATTGTCAAACGATGTAATTAATGTAATGGTTAAAATTTAAGCCCTCATCTGGGCAAGCTAAATGTGACTGCAGTTCAGGGTTGAGTCCATGGATGAAGAAGATCTGCCACTTGATATGCAGCAGAGATAAACACAAGGCGATCAGGCAGAGGTCAGTATACTGGGCAAACAATCCAGGGCAATAATCCAAAAATGAGGGGAATACTCATCCCTGTTGAAAAAACAGCATATGCTGGTTAGGTGTGTTTTGAAGCATGACTGTTGGTTTGAGGTGGTTTAAGATGGTTCTTAGCTGGTCATGAGCAGGAGCTAGTTTCTTAGGACCAGCTTAAACCAGCAGTCATGCTTCAAAACATACCTAACCAGCATATGCTGTTTTTAACAGGGATCTGCAGGAACAGGGCTGGAAACCCCTGGTTTAAAAGTAAAAAAAAAGTTTAATCCACATCAATCTATGTCAGGGCTGAGCAGTTCTGTCCCTCGACATCCACTTCCTGAAGTTTTTAGCTCCATCAAACATACCTGCCACTTCCTTTCTACTAATATTGAAGAACAAAAATTAGTTTGTTCAGATGTGTTTGATTAGGTTTAGTTTTTTGTTTTGTTTTTTTGTTTTTTTCGTGGAGGGCTACCATCCTGAAGACTTTAACTCCAACAACTTGGTTTATGTTACTATAATTTACTTTCTGTTAATGCAGTAATGCATTATGAAGACAAGAGTTGTTTGGTTTTAAAGGAAGAAAAGTCATAAATATGTTGCTTTTAAAACGTGACCTGTCTTGTAATTAAAGAATTAGTGTATTTTTAGTGTGTGTTTATTACTGAGCTTTATCAAATTTCTTTTTTCATAAATATCCTGAGATGGTTTAAACAAGTACCCCCTACAGTTCTTTTTTAGTTACTAGAACTCTCGTGTAAGTAAACTATACTAACTAAGCATCTGTCAGTACAACATACTATTCCTATTTCACTTTACTTAGTTTTTTCAAGGCAATCGGTTTGCATGCTTTTTTTAAGTAAGCCCAACTAATTAGATTTTACAGTGTACTCAAACATACCTATATATTCTATCTTTATATACTATATATAGTTATATATTATATTATATTTTCACCAAATAAAAGAGAGAAATAGCAATGTCTTGATATGCAGTTCTCAGCAATTAGTTATAAAACTAATTACATGTCTAAAACTTGACTTATTATAACATGACTATACAGTACTGTTGGTAAAGAGAATATCAAATCCCACCATCTGATATCAAACCAGACATGATCACTTCTTTGTATCTTTTACATTTGTTCTGCAAAGTTTCTACATTTAACTGCAATCAAAAAGTCTAACTCCTAACTCCTAAATTCTAATTCCTTTGAAAAGATACCTCCAAGAATAACAATAAATAGATTGTTACTGTAACACTAATACCAACCCAAGAATGCTAAGAATGAACAAGAAAAATACATGAAGGTAAAGACATGAGGAGAAAGAGAACAATAATGAAAGAACATCATTGACTGGGCTGTGCGTATACTCTCATCTTGTGACTCTCCATCACTGCAGCTTTGGGTCATATTAACAGATCTGACCCAACAAGCACGATTCTCAGACAGCCATGCTCCAAGACTATCGCCCTCTTTCTTGTCTTCATTTGTAGATAATGAATGGACATTTATTCTCACAGGAGCCACATGATCACAAGATCAGGAGCTGCAGAAGCAGGATTCACATTTACAAATCCATCATTTTGAAATAATATTTTTGTACAGTTGTGAATTCAGTGTAAAACTTGGCAGTGATGTTGACTGAAGAGAATTTCAATGCAAAAGAGTCTAAGGAAAACAAAAGAAAAATAAAAGACTTTAAATGACCCCTCAACAAATACTTAGTTGATAAAACCTTTTGCTTTTAATGAAGCAGATTTTCATTTCATTCATTATTTTTTGTCACCTCTTGTTTTGTCAGTTTTATTACTCTTCCTTTTAAAAGAGCTTCAGATTGTTCAAATTGTCAGGGGATCTTTTGAGTATAGCCCTCTTCGAGTCAATCCAAAAGTTTATTTGATTGGATTTGGGTCTGGGCTCTGACTAGGCCTTTCCAAAATTTTCTTCTTCTTTTGATTTGTGTTATTATCGTGCTGAAAGATGAAATCCCTCTTCGTCTTAAATTTAAAAAAAAAAAAGGCCTGCAGGTCTTGTGCCAAAAAAGGTTTGGTAATTGGGACTATCCATGATTTCTTCTATTGTAGCTAATGACAAGTATTCATTATTGTAGTTTTCCATCAGTTTTTGACAGATGACCTCTTTATTTTTCCTTTATCTTTTTGGATGTCATTGTGTTGTCACATTGTCTCCCCTTGTTGATGATGGCCTGCATGGTATTCAGTGGTACCTGTAATGTTTTGGGAGTTTTTGTTCAGGGTTAAAGGGTTAGTTCACCCAAAAATGAAAATTAGCCCATAAATTACTCACCCTCAAGTCATCCTAGGTGTATATGACTTTCTTCTTTCAGACGAATTCAGTCGGAGTTATATTAAAAACAACGATAGAGCTTGAAAGATCAAAGACAATTTTTAATATAACTCCGACTGGATTCGTCTGAAAGAAGAAAGTCATATACACCTAGGATGCATCGGGGGTGAGTGAAACGCAGCCTAATTTTCATTTTTGACTGAACTAACCCTTTAAGTAACGTTACGTAAACTCTTACTCAAACTCAGTAAGTGTTTGAATGTGATTAGTAAATTTTTCCGTCTCCCAAAATAAAAGGGTGTGCACATATTCTACTAGGTAATTTTAGATTTCCTGTATTCAATAAAGGATTATGCATGTACGAGTTTGTGTATAACCTGTTGTAAAACACACAAGTACAAATAATGATAATTAATTGTGTAAACTTGTGAAGCTGGTAACATGGCTAAAAGAAAATCATGTCACATAGTAGCAGAAATGAAATCAATAATATTATAAAAGGATAATAATTTCAATAATCCTCATTAATTCTTTTTGTCTGCAGTTTCAACGAAAGCTTTTTTTTTTTTTACATTCTAGGTTCTACATTAATCATTATGCAATCAGAAAATCCCAGCAAGATCCCAAGGAAGCAAGGCTGCATAACAGTGATGCATTGTAAGAATTTTCCTAAACATTCCTAAACTACAACCCTCTATAGGATTACTTGAGGGTGTGGGAGGAACCTAATATGCACAAATCTATGATGTCATACATTGGGGTTTGGTTTTGGGTGCTGATGTTGAAGAATGTGCAAGACACTTGGGTCTCTAGAGTAAAGCTGGATCAGTGACTGGTGTTGTAGCAATCAATGCATACCCTGATGATGTGGAGGGCTCTCATCTTTCTAATTCTTACATTCTCATCAGGAGCACTTTCACGTGAGTATTTCTGTTAATATAATTATATTATAATGTATTATATTATTATAGTATTGTATTATAATTTCTGTTATTATATACTTTATATATTGGAAACCATTAATAAGAATCACTGATTGTACAGAATTTGAAAGTATAAAGCAGATACATTGAATACGTCATAGTAAATAAAATTACTCAAGATTTGTCAAACTTTTTTTCATATGTAATTCTTCTTTTAGAATCTTTGGGTTAAATCCACAGCTGATAAATAGTTGCATTATTTTAAATACCAGCACTTTAAACAATTCAGTTTCTTACAATTTTATCTAAATTAATTGCATGATAAATGCTTTAAAGAGGCTGTTGCAAGGCTAACTTTTAAAGTGATAATTGGCCATTCTTTGATTTTATTAAATATAGTGTTGCTGCATGATGCCAAATGTTAAAGAATTGTGCTGGCAACACCAGGTTATGGCTTTGATATTCTGGAAATGTATCGCTTTGGATAAAAACATATGCCAAATAAATAAAATGTAAATGTAAGTAATGAGTCTTAAAACATATAATAAATTACATATTGCTTACACAATCAGATACACAAACATTCAGATGCACACATGCATACAAATGAAAAGTTGACAGGTATCAGAGCTCTGTGGGATCTTACCTCATTACAGCAGTGGGGATTAGAGTGGTAACCTCAGCTGAAAGTCACATGAAAAGGATTGAATGGGATTGTAGAGGTCGTGTGACTCTATTTGCCAATCCTCACATTCTCTTGATTTTTTTTCTTTGATTTTTTTTAGACCTTGTCTCTTGACTCGCTTATGAACTTAAGCCAAACTTTACCAACTGAACTTTTTATTTACTTTACTCCTTTTTAAATTATACTGTGTGTTATGTTGTACTATACCGGTATTTAACTTAGAGTCTGAAATATCTATTATACAATTATTCTAATCTGCTATCTAATGTAGGCTAGTCATGTATTTATCTAATATGCATCATTTTATTGTTTGTAGCGTTGCTTATAAAGTTGAAGTAAGGGAATTAAATTGATAAATGTGCACTTCGCACATCTAATGATTTCTAATAACTGGGTCTGTTGGGAGATTGAAAAATCATAAAAAAGAGTTTCCCCATAGATGAGTTTTAAAGAAGACCTGTGTGATTTGAATAAAGAAATTAACTTTATCAATAACTCATTTGAAAATTCATTTTGATGCACTTTCACAAATTACCAACTGAACTTTTTATTTACTTTACTCCTTTTTAAATTATACTGTGTGTTATGTTGTACTATACCGGTATTTAACTTAGAGTCTGAAATATCTATTATACAATTATTCTAATCTGCTATCTAATGTAGGCTAGTCATGTATTTATCTAATATGCATCATTTTATTGTTTGTAGCGTTGCTTATAAAGTTGAAGTAAGGGAATTAAATTGATAAATGTGCACTTAGCACATCTAATGATTTCTAATAACTGGGTCTGTTGGGAGATTGAAAAATCATAAAAAGAGTTTCCCCGTAGATGAGTTTTAAAGAAGACCTGTGTGATTTGAATAAAGAAATTAACTTTATCAATGACTCATTTGAAAATTCATTTTGATGCACTTTCACAAATGAAAACTTTATTATTTCTTTTCATCATTCTAGAATCAAAAACACGCATTGCACATTATCGTTCATGGAATTCACAGATGTATCCAGTTTGGAGAGATGGAGATCCCAGATACAGAGACTGTTGGAAAGGTAGTTTAGCACATCAAGCATACACAAGTAATTGACACATTCTAAAAATGTTAAAGCGCAAGACATTGAGCTCAAAGTACAACCTCAATTCCAGAGAAATTGGGGCGTTTCGTAAAAATGCAATAAAATCAAGAATCTGTGATTTGTTCATTCTCTTTAACTTTTATTTAATTGGCAAAAGTACGAAGAAAAGATTTCCAAAGTTTTCACTGACCAACGTAAATGTATTTTGATGGCTGCAACACATTCCAAAAAAGTTGGGACAGAGGCAAAATAAAACTGAAAAGGTTATAGAAAATCCACTTTAAACTGTTTTGAAACAGTTCACAGTAAGCAGGTGAATTGGTAATGGGTCAAGGTATCATGTTTGGGTATAAAAGGAGCATCTCAGTCTTTGCAAGCAAAGCTGGATCATGGCTCATCACTTTGTGCCAAATTTCATGAGAGAAGTGTCAAACAAATCAAAAATCACATTTCACAATGCAAAATCGCAAAGAATTTAGGTCTTTCACCAACTACCACACGTAATATTGTGAAAAGATTCAGGGAATCCAGAGAAATCACAGTACATGTAGGGCAAGGCAGGAAACCTCAGTTGAATGTGCTTGACCTTTTAGCCCTCAGATGGCATTGCATAAGAAACCGTCATGCTGCACTGTTAAATATAGCCACATGGGCTCAGGAGTACTTCAGAAAACCACTGTCATTTACCACAGTCTG